TCTTCACCAAATCCAAAATTCTACAGTCATATAAACCGTACGCAGGATACGGGCATTATCATCCACCCGGTGTCCAATAGAGGGCCAACGTCTACTTCTAATAGAAAAAATACTGCAACACCCAACTCGTGCAGTACAGCTTGACAACCCACGAAACAAGGGAAGTTTCACTGTCATAATACTGATCTGTGTGATTTTAAAGAAGACGCATAAGAAAATGTGAACCATGCAGAAAAACTACTATGATGTCAATCTATTATAATAAGATGACGTCATTTTATCACTTTGTTTTAGAACAATGGATTACAATTATAACTATCGTCTAACAATAATTCTTACGTCATATCGCTTCAACTGACAAATGAGAATTGAGAATCTTTACAACGCACAAGTGAAAATATGACAAGACAAAGTTTATTTCATAGAACATGGGCCAAAAAACGACATACACAAAAATACTGCGCGCGGAGGTTACAAGCTAATACATTGTACTTAGAGCTAACTATTAAGCAGTTGCTTCACACCATATGGGTAATACACCAATACTATCATTACGTGAGTGAGTGAGTGAGTGAGTGAGGAAGAACATGCAGCAGAACGAGAGCAGTGACATCTGACCCCAGTTGACAGATTTGTTGTTGTTGTTGTTGTTGGTTTATTGTTTAACGCCGCACTCAGCAATATTCCAGCTATATGACGGCGGTCTGTAAATAATCGAGTCTGGACCAGAGAATCCAGTGATTGACATCATGAGCATCCACACAATTGGGATCGATGACATGCATCAACCAAGTCAGCGAGCCTGACCACCCGATCCTGTTAGTCGCCTCTTACGACAAGCATAGTCGGCTTTTACGGCAAGCATGGGTTGCTGAAGACCTGTTCCACCCGGGAATCTTCACGGGTCCCAGTTGACAGATACTGTGACAGGGACCACCAGTCTGCTGAAGGAGTGAGGAATGCAGCATCTGCAACCCGGGTCCACAATCGGAAGAACCGTGATTTCCATAAGAAAACATTTCTTAAAGTGCTATATTTTCTGTTCTTATTTAATTGCTTTGTAGTGCCTTTAACTACCTACAATGGTGTGAAAGGTTGATAAGCACAATAAATGTGTCTCTCTCTCACTCACACACACACACACACACACACACGCGCGCGCGCGAGAGAGAGATTTAAATCGGGACTGAGGGCAGGCAACTTCATTATCCTGATGCCATATCATTCTGCTGGAGGGAGTCTCTTGTTACTCTCGCAGTGTGGGCACGGGCGTTATCATGCTGAAACTCGTGGTTGCGGCGATGTGCCAAATGAGGTATGGCGTGTGGTCTCAAGACTTGATCAATGAACCGAGCTGCAGTTTTTTAACATTTGCGGAATACTCCACTAAGTCCACAGTGGTCCAAAGTTTTCTTTACATTCGATAACCAAGGCTTTTTGTTTTATTCATACAATTATCAAGTTTAAGAAACTTCAACATCGTACAAGGGATTTCATTTAATCCATTTTCAGTTGATAGTTATACCAATAACTTATTATTCTTTTTGAAATTTGGATTCGCATGGGTCCTCTCCCCAGTATTCCATAAACTAAAACATTTGGAGTCGAGTCCCCCAAACCAGTTACTATCTTAAAATAAATAATGGCAATTTTTCAAGTAAGTTTGCATGTCCCCAAACAGTCTTGGCGGTACCATTACACCAAAACCCTTAATGGTTCACACCGTTGGTATATCTTTTGTGTGGGTCTCTTTTAAGAAGACAATTATATTTCCTATTGTGAATAGTTCTTTCATAGCTAGAGGTAATCGTCAGTTCCTTTGTAACACAGTCTTCAAAAAAAAGAAACGCATAGTTAAAAAATAAGGATATTTATTAAGCGGATGTAAAAGTATCTACACAGAATATGCGCGAACACAATCAAATGAAATTACACACAGTGATCGACAAAAGCATTGTCGTCATTGTCAGCATTAATTCAGTTCAGTCATTGCACATGTGTAGCCACAAGGGGGCGTCATGGTCAGTACCTGGTCACACCACCTCTTGCAGCCGTCACTGCTCGACACCTCCTCGTCGTCGGATTTTTTCGTTGGGAATTCTTCGCCATTCCTCCTGTAAGGCGTTGGCGAGTTGTTCCAGTGTGTGGAGACGCTGGTGACATTGACGGACGCGTCGATCAAGTTCGTCCCACAAATGTTCAATCGGGTTTAGATCAGGCGATTTGGACGGCCTTGGAAGGACATTGATGTTCTCATAAACAAGGAAATTAACTGTTGTACGTGCTGTGAGGGGCCGAGCGTTGTCATGTTGGAACAGCTCCCTCTGGCGGTCCAAGGTTGGGAGGAGGTGAGGACGTAGAATTTGATCTATGTATCGGTTTGCTGTAAGATTGCCATGGACAACCACTAACTGTGATCTACCCGTGTAGGATATGGCTCCCCACACCATGACACTCCCTCCACCAAATCGGTCCACCTGTCGAACGCAGTTCGGCGCAAAACGTTCATGTCGACGTCGGTATACACGTTGTCTTCCATCCCGTCGTTGAAGAAGAAAACGTGACTCATCGCTGAACCAAACGCGTCGCCAGTTCCTGAGATCCCATGCCTGTACTCTGTTGCACCACCGGACACGTCGTTGACGGTGAAGACGTCGCAAGACAGGTCCAACTTTTGGTCGTCTCGCTCGAATTCCCACTTCCCTCAGACGATTTCTGATGGTTTGGTCGGAAGTTCTTCGCATACCAGGCACTTGTCCTGCAGTGTCCGTTGCTGTAGCAAATCGATGCCGAAGGTGATGCAACCGGATGTACCGATCCTGAGCAGGGGTGGTCACTCTTGGTCTTCCACTTCTGGGATGATCTTGAGTCGAATTAGTGCGGGTATATCGATCCCATAGTCGAGATATGGTGCTTTGGTGAACGTTGAAGTGTCTTGCAACGGCAGACTGGGACTCCCCTGCTTCCAAACGTCCAATGGCGATATTTCGGTCAGCTGCAGTTAATCTTGGCATTTTTCTATCTCCGTTCACGTCAGAAAATTCGTAATGAACTGATGAATTTTGTACGGTCTTTCATAGTCAGTGTCTCTACTCTTGTTTCCAACACTTTGCACGTGCATTGTGCTGAAAACTTTTTCTGAAAGCAATTTCCGTGCATCCTTTGCATTTTTGCTGATAAACGTTTACAAAAAAAACCATTTTGAGATGTGTTTGCGCGCAATGCACAACAAACAGGACATGATTAACGGGAATCAAACATAAGAATTGCCTTTATGACGATTGCTGGGAGAGAAAATCTAATTGGAATTCGCAAAACACCTATGCGTTGTTTTTTTGAAGAGTGTATAAACATAAATAAACATCTTCCATTTCGATTATTTACCTTGTGTGAAAAAGTCCATGGGCTATTTTTGGCTGGAAGTCCGCCAAGAAAAATAACTTAGTATTTGATAGATTAACTAATACTTCTCCATTATGAGCAGTGGCACTCAAAGGCATCTAACGACTTTTGTAAAGATTTTGGGTTATCTCCAGATATAAATGTGTCATCTGAATAAAGCAGAGTGAACATTCTTAACATTCGTAACAGATCTTTAACGTTTTCACACACCCCAGAGACTATATACCGGAATATAGCTTCTGCACCCTCACATTCGTCAGTTAACAGAATAGGTTCCAAGTCGTTTTCGTACAGTGAAAACAATAGCGGTGACAAATGTTCACCTTGTCTCACGTGCGCGCCCGAAAAACTAAGAGAATAATCAGAGGAACTATCATTTACAACAACTCATGACGTTATAGTAGCATAAAGGTTCCTTATCAAGATTTTTAAAAATTCCTTTAAATCCATAATTTAAAAGTTTATACTATCATCCAACTCAAATGCCTCAGAGAAGTAAAAAATGACCACAAAATAATTTCTTTTTAGCAACTTTGATACTTATGACACATCAGTGAACTATATTCACTTACAAATATTGAAAACTCTAATATACCTTGGCTAATTCAACGTCATTGCATGAAGAGATAAAAGATCACTGTCAGAGGGGCTTATCTGGATTAGGCTGACAAAGAAAGCCAGTTTTCTGGTCCCCGACCGTCTCTAGGGGCCCTCCACTCCTCACTGCAAACACCGAACACGTCATGTACATGGCTTCAATAAGCACAATACCAAAGTCTTCCCTGTCAGGTGTGTACAGGAGACGTGAATAGTGGGTCAGCAGTGTTCTCTTCTACCCAGCAACCCTTTTGCTCGGCTGACGTCACTCTCCTACCCAGAGTTCCATGCGGTCGGCAGCCAGCCAGCCAGCATCGTACCGAAGGGCCCGTGAAGATACGGGGTAGAATAGGTCTTCAGCAACCCATGATTGCCTTAAAAGGCGACTATGCTTGTCGTAAGAGGTGACTAACGGGATCGGGTGGTCAGGCTCGCTGACTTGGTTGACGCATGTCATCGATCCCAATTGGATGGATCGATGCTCATGATGTCAATCACTGGATTGTCTGGTCCAGACCCCCGTTATAGCCGGACCACTGCTGAGTGCAACGTTAAACAACAAACAAACAAACAAACAAACAAAACAAACAAACCACGTACTTCAAGTTCCATTATGACCATTAACATTGCACATGAACATATGATCTATAATTAACAGTTTGAATAAAATGTATACCTATAGCAGGACTCGTGACGATCCGGGTTAGAATTGGTCTGCTGCAACCCATGCTTGTGGTGAGAGGGGACTAACGGGATCGGATGGCCAGGCTCGGTGACTTGGTTGATGCATGTCATCGTATGCCAGTTACGTAGATCGATGCTCATGATGTCAACCACTGGATTTTATGATCCAGTCTCGATTATTTACAGGCCGTGGTCATATATTGCTGGGATATTGCTGAGCGCGGCGTTAAACAACAAACAAACTTATCACAGTTTGAATAATATGTCGTGGTCTGCCTAGTCTGGAAGAGGCGGTTGCTTCCCTTGGATGTAGACGGCGCATTTTGCAAAATGGCAGCGATGGAAGATGGAGACGACGATGATAAGTTGGAGACAGAACATTTCCTCAGAATCGTCAACGCCTTTAGGTTTTACAGGTAGAAACAAGGACAGTGCTTGTTCGATGAGGTCCATATTCACAGAGAAAGTCTGGTGACTTTGCAGCCGAGTCAAACAAACACTCCAATATTTGTATGGCTACATTTGGACATGACCCGATGCAGTGGCGTGTTGTTGAACAAGGTTGTAAGCGTGGTGTAGTGGACTCCACTGATGAACTGAGACCTTATATTATTTTTTTTTTAAGTGACGGAGAAAACTGTCGTCCAATATTTGCTGAGCGGATATCATACTCTGAAGAGATAACTCATCGACAGTGATCGACACGAGCCTTGCATAATAAACAAAACAAAAAGACAAAAAGGAACGTCCTTTCCCAAACACATCTAGGCATATCTGTCCTTTTGTGCAAGCCTCCCCACGTTCTTGTTAATGTTTGCGATCTTATAAAAATTCAACGTTAGATTTGTCACTACACAATATATGAAAACAATATCAATATTTGAACGAAAAGGGGGATGAGAATTACCATGGCTTTACTTTACACTGCCGGGCTGAGACAAGCTTGTTCAAAAGACTGTTTTCTTAGTAAATTCTTACCAAGAAATTACAACAAATTCCTATTAATTGTGACATGTTTTAAGTTACTTTATCAAATTCTAATCCAACAGAAAGGCCTGATTTAATGGTACCGACAAAGAGTACTCATGCGAAATCTTGTTTAAAGGCCTACCTATCTAGGTTATTTTGTAATTCAGTGTTATCAGAGTCAGACCATTGCACTTTAGGCTTAATACAGTTTATGTAATGGTAGAAAGTTTAACTACCTATTGATACACATTTGCGTTTTATGATTTTAGCAGGATTACACAAAACATACTGGCAATTATAACCAATAGGGTTAGAAATAACCAAGTTCATAAAAAGCGTATACGTGTGCACTAGTGTATTGTTTTTCATCATCCGGATGGCATTCATTTGAATCTTATTGTGACTTAAGGTGGGAATAACGTCTAACTAGAAACAACATCATTGCTGAAGATTGTTAATGTATGTTATATATTGTGTTTTTCTTGGACAACAGTTTTGATCAGTGTTTTTTTTCTAAAAGGGATCAAAAGGATAAAGACATAATGGGTAACTAGAAACTATTACACCTGCATGTGTGTGATACTGATTTTACAAAACTTGTGTAAGAATGCATGTATTACCCTCGTTCTCACTCTGGAAATACAAGAATTCTGATGCTCATTTCGTCAAATCAGTATGACACACATGCTCATTTAAATAATCTCTATTTAGATTGCAGTTTATCAGGTGCAGCTTATAATGCTAATTGGGGGGCACGGGTGGCCCAGTCGTCTGAGGCGCCGCGAAACGCTGTACAGAGTTGTGTCCCTTGTGCACGCCAAAAACCTATGATTGTTGGTTCGAATCCCGGCTCGCCCCGATTATGTTTCTAGCTTTGTCAGCACCATACCCGTGCTTGTTGGTTTCACCGAAGTGGTAAACGCCTGAGACCTGCATCCCTTCGGGCTTTCCTCCCACATTAAGTTGACACGCTGTGATATAACTGGAATACTGTTAAAAGCGGCGTTAAACCCAACTCACTCACTATAATGCTAATTGTCTCCTGCTACCCCTATCTCTATCCTTAGCCCATAACTGATCAAAGCACCCCTATATTATCCCAAGGGATAGATGAGATTTAGGGTGTGGGTACACTATGGGTACAGTGTCTGAAATTCAGTAAATTGAGAGCCTTAAGGGCCATTGATTTTAAAAAAACCTGTAGGCCCAGTGGAAAAACTTTAGGCCCAAACATTTTAGCTGAAACACCACCAGTCAACCAGAAGCTTTTACTGCTATCACACCAAGTTCCCAAAGACTATTAGGTGATTGATGAAGCATACATTTATCAGGAAATTATCAGCTTGTAATACATCTTTGCTACAACATTTCATACACCATTTAAAAGATCTAATCCTATTGTTTATAAATAGGAAAGTTATGTTTATTACATTAATAATGTTTATTAAATAATTACTTCAATAAACTGCAGGACGTAAGGACCTGCAGAAATTAAAACTATCAGGCCGAGAACAAATCTGTCAGCCTTGTCCCTACACTTAGTACGATCCTCTGCATGGTGCTAATTGAAGTCCGAAGAACTGCACCCTGTAAAGTGCAGTACTTTATCCAACTGAGGCTCTAAAAAATGGATGGAACACTTAATCATATGTGTCAATAGTTCAAGTTAAATGTATAAAGACTTTGCCATGTCTTGGTCATTGTTCAACAAAGCATTTGAGTCAGGTTTAATTTTTGTAATACTTAGATGCCTCCATGGTCTAGTGGTTACAGCGTCTGCCTGGAGAGCTGAAGAAGATCAGTTCTTTGATGCCCATCCTCATGATACCAAAAGATGCTAAAATGTGGAACTACCTGTAAAGATCTGCGTAGAATAGGTCTTCAGCAACTCATGCTTGCTGTAGGAGGCAACTATGCTTGTAGTAAGAGGAGACTAACAGGATTGGTTGATGCATGTCATTATATCCCAATTGCATGGATTGATGCTCATGATGTCAATCATTGAACTGTCTGGTCCACACTCGATTATTTACAGACCGCAGTCATACGGCTGGAATACTGCTCAGTGCGATGTTAAACAACAAACAAAGAAACTTAAAGATGGAACTCTTTGATAGACTGATCAAAGTCGTGTGTTTTGCTGTAGAATTGCTGTTGATCTATTGTCCCAAGAGACTACCAGGCAAGCTATTAACAAACCAGAGTTGAGGATGAGTGTGTGTATGCCTGTGTATTTCAGGTCCCACTCCCTGATGCGTGTGGAGAGCGCTGACCGGTACTACAAGGAGCTGTCCGATGACCACAAGGCCCTCATCCCTGACTTCCGGGCCAACCTGGACCTGATCCGGACCAGCATTGACCACAACTATGAAATCATCAAACTCATCCTGCAGGACACAGAGCATATGTTTGAGAACAAGAGTCACGGCCTACAGAATGTGAGAACAGTTTATTACTGACTGACTGAGTATGGTTTTACGCCGCTTTTAGCAATATTCCAGCAATATCACGGTGGGGGACACCAGAAATGGGCTTCACACATTGTGCCCATGTCGGGAATTGAACCCGGGTCTTCGGCGTGATGAGCGAACGCTTTAACCACTAGGCTACCCGACCGCCCCGAACAGTTTATTAACTTCCTGTTTATCATGAATATTATGCGAAAAGTTCATGAATTATTCATTTATCATGATTATTGTTAGAACATTTCATGATTATTAATTTATGAAGATTTCACAAATTACTTATTTATAATGATTATTGTGATATATCATGAATTTATTATTAATCATAATTATTTTGAGAACATTTGCTGAATTTTCATGTCTTTTTTTTTAGAATTACTTTGAGAAAAATCAAACAGCCACAATTTGTACATGGGCACAAGCACCCCTAGGTGGCTAGGCTAGGTGAAAGTTCTTGTACACTTGTTGTATAAATGATGTATCATTTTGGTGAAATGAGTAGGTATTATGGGCAAGGAGAGGTAGTGTGGGTTTGCTTCCTTTTTCAACAGCCACAACACTGGCACATTATAAATGTAAAAGATAATGACTTCATTATGCCACTCCCCCTGTTAGTGTATGTATCTTTCCGTCAGGGGGGAGACAACATCAAGCAGATCCCGCCAACAACGTTTGATATGGACAAGGTGAAAACAACGCTGAAGCAGTTTGTGCGGGACTGGAGCGAGGACGGGAGGGCGGAGAGAGACGCGTGCTACAGGCCGATCATGCAGGAAATAGTTCACAGATTCCCAGCTTCAGAGTGGTAAACATCAACAATTATTATGATTCAAATGACTATTTTTTTATTTTGTTGTTTTAAGGATTCAACCAACCAAAACCCGAAAACCATAATCTAAAAAAAAATAAAAATAGCTGGATTTTACATTATTTGCCCAACCACTCTCACGTTGATAGTTTATCAGAATTAACTAACTAAAGTGGTTAACCTTTTAAATAATTGTTCTAATGCATTGTTGAGTGTCTCTAGCCGCTACTAACACTTCATTATGAGAACAAAGCAATTGCATGTCATTGTATCCCAACTGCATATATCAATGCTCATGATATCAATCACTGGTTGGCTGGTCCAGACTCGATTATATACAGACCGCTCTCATATAGCTGGAATATTCCTGAGTGTGGCATTAAGAAACAAACAAACAAACAAACACAATCTAAATTATGCGGATAAGATGCGGAATGATCAATTTCAACCATCACAAATTTGTTACAACCCCTGCTGATTGTCATGTTGAGGTCGTCAAGAAACAACACAACACAACACAGCCATTTTCTTCATCTGTACGTCCGACCCGTGAAGATTCCGGGGTAGAATAGGTCTTCAGCAACCCATACTTGCCGTAAAAGGCGACTATGCTTGTCGTAAAAGGCGACTAACGGGATCGGGTGGTCAGACTCGCAGACTTGGTTGATACATGTCATCGATCCCAATTGCGTGGATCGATGCTCATGTTATCAATCACTGGATTGTCTGGTCCAGACTCGATTATTTACAGACCGCCGTCATATAGCTGTAATATTGCTGAGTGCGGCGTTAAACAACAAACCAACCAACCAATCATCTGTACGTCCTGGTCAGTCCAGTTGTGTCAGACCCCAGAATTGGCTGTGCAGAGTTGCTTCCCTTAGATAGGCCAGAAACTTTGTCCTGATTGTGTTTCAAGTTTTGTCCTGATTGTGTTTCAAGTTTTGTTCAGATTGTCAGCATCAAACCCAGGGGCAGTGGGGTAGCCAAGTGGTTAAAGTTTTGCTCGTCTCGCTAAAGACCTGGGTTCAATTTCCCACACAAGTACAATGTAGAGGGAACACTATGCTGTGTGTCAAGTTCCTCTCTGATGTTGTTTTTCAAGCTAGAAGTCAACACAATTTATGATTATTTTTCCCACATGTCTTGGTTTGTAGCAATCTCATTAAAATCAGATCTTAGTTCTCGCTATCGCTGAACACGGTGTAGTGGATATGTGGTTTGCCCGAAGAGGGGAAGGTCTGTGGAAGGTCATACCACAAGACGATAAAAGATGGTACTTGTTGTTACCCTGTCTAGTGCTCGTCATTTAGGGGCTAAAACAAGGATTGGTCGACCCTGAGTCAGTGTTGTGTCTGAGTGGGTATTCATGTATCAATGGACCCCAGAAATATCAAGATTTTTGAAAATTGCAAAATATTCAATACTCCACAACATATTAAAAGCATGTCATACCTTTTGATTTCATTTGTTGTTGATGTTGGTGATGATGTTTTGTGACTAACCAGTAACTGTTGATGTGTCTGGCAGTGACCCCTCGTCTGTGTACGTCCTGGTTCCTGGAGCAGGGCTGGGGCGCCTGGCCTTCGAGATTGCTAATCTCGGCTACAGTTGCCAAGGCAACGAGTGGAGCCTCTTCATGTTATTCGCATCTAACTTTGTTCTTAACAAGTATGTTCCTTTTTATTTCTCTCTTTTGATGCATGCGTTTTGCCTTGTTTATTTATCATTTCCCTGAAAGTTATGCAAAATAACACAGTTGTTGACTAGAGTTCACTTGCACAGAAATGGGCTTCACACATTGTACCCATGTCGGGATTCAAACCTGGGTCTTCGGCATGACGAGCGAAAACTTTAACCACTAGGCTACCCGACCGCCCAAACAATCGTAACTCCCATGCTCTTACAAAGTCTACGATAGTGGTAGCGCTGTGGTCGCTTTGTGCAAGTGGACCCTGGATTTCCCTGATGCTAAATAAGGCGACCTGTGTGAATATTTGGCACTACAATAGGATCAAAGAAAGTTTGTCTGTGTGAATACTAAAGACCCACACAGCTGTAGCACTCACATGAAGTATACTGTCAATATCTGACCAAGTTTCAATTCAGACAAGGAAAGTCCCATCCAGAGGTGTGGATTGTGGAATGTCAAGGGTTTGATCCCAATCCACTTAATACCAAAAAACGTTTAAAGATGGTACTTGTTGTTACCCTGCCTGGCACCCGTCATTAAGGGTTTAAAAGGACTGGTCAGCTCGGAGTCAGTATACTTTGTCTAAGTGGAGAACAAGCAGCCTCCCCACCCCTTATGCATACACACTGCTTGATAAGTGCAATGATCTTGAACGCAACATTAAATTCCATTTCCTTTCACCTTACCTATCTATGGTAAGCATACATCTGAATACAGTTTATCTATTCAGTTTCACTTTCTACAAGGTTAGACCCGTGAACATTCCCGGGTAGAAAAGGTCTTCAGCAACCCATACTTGCCATAAAAGGTGACTATGCTTGTTGAAAAAGGTGACTAACGGGATCGGGTGGTCAGACTCGCTGACTTGGTTGATACATGTCATCGATCCCAAATGCGTGGATCGATGGTCATGATGTCAATCACTGGATTGTCTGGTCCAGACTCGATTATTTTACAGACCGCCGTCATATAGCTGGAATATTGCTGAGTGCGGCGTTAAACAACAAACAAATCCTGCAAGGTTAACCCGTGAAGATCCAGGTTAGAATAGGTCTTCAGCAACCCATGCTTGCTGTAAAAGATGACTATGCTTGTTGTAAGAGGCGACTAACGAAATCAGGTGGTCAGACTCACTGACTTGGTTGATGCATGTCAACGTATCCCAATTGCATAGATCGATGCTCATGATGTCAATCACTGGATTGTCTGGTCCAGACTGGATTATTTACAGACTGCCATCATATAGCTGGAATATTGCTGAGTGTGGCAACAAACAAACAAAACCCACGAGGTGCACTGTGTTAGAATGGCAAACCAGATTTCCTGACAATCAATATTCAAGCTTTATCATGTTGTAAATAATCCAACATAGCTGAGCAAATATCGTTTGAGTGTACAGCCCAAACCTGACTCTCAGCATCAGCGGATATTACTTGACTCAAATGGACTTTGGACTGGTGGCTGAAGTCGCAGACTGATATTAAGTTAGCCCTGAACATCTTCCCGAGGCAAGTGAGTTAACTGACTATAAAAGTCCAGTGCCACCCTTGCCGAACTAGGCTGGTATTATGGAGTTACATTTTGGCTAACGAGACTACTCATAGTCCAATCAAAATCGCGCACCGACATCAAAATCTAGTTCGTAAACTATCGTGCAGATTTTGGTCGATTGCAGGATTTGTAAAGCATGTGCACCGCCAACTCGTTGTCAGCAGATATTTTCCAAATCTTTTCAAGTTTTTAATCAAGGTGCTCACGTGATTTGATGCATTCAGCGATGTAAGACCTGTTTTATCGCAATATAGATCTTGATAATCGATCAGATCGTCCTGACTCGCCGCCACCATTTTGTGTGAAGCAAACGCAAGTGATACGAGAGGTGGAATCTGATTGGTCCATAGGAGAGGTTTTAGAAGGGACATAACTGGTAATAGCCACTGTTGGCGCTGCGATCGAGCCCAGTAATTCCAGCCTAGTTTGGCAAGGGTGGAAACTGGACCTTAAAGTCAGTTAACTCTCTTGCCTCGGGAAGATGGCCCTGAACTGCAGAGAGTCTTTTTTTGTCACTGTTCCCGGATACTGCATCACGACTGTTTGTTAAAGCAATTACCTTGCAGCAAACACCGTTGTTTAGAAACTGAATTAATTTTCTGCACGTAAAATGATTATTTTGTATTTTATTTTCCAGATGTAAGCATGTGAATTCCTTCACCATGTATCCGTGGGTGCATCAGTGGAGCAACCACACGTGCAGGGCAGATCAGACTCGACCAATCAGTTTCCCCGACATTGAGACCACCAGCATTTCCCCCACAGTCAATTTCTCAATGGCCGCTGGGGACTTCCTGGAGGTGTACACGGAGCCAGGTGAGATGGTCAGACTGTGGACTTCAGCAACCCATGCATGCTGTAAAAGGCGGCTATGCTTGTTGTAAAAGGCGACTAACGGGATCGGGTGGTCAGGATCGCTGACTTGGTTGATGCATGTCATTGTATCCCAAATGAGTAGATCGATGCAGATGATGTCAATCACTGGCTTGTCTTGTCCGAGTATTTGCTGAATATTGCTGAGTGCCCATTAAACAACAAACAAACAAAACAAACATTGTCAGATGATGATTATGCAGGTCCACTCACCAGCCAGGTGTATTTCCACAGATTCCTGGGACTGTGTGGCCACTGTATTCTTCATTGACACAGCGCACAACATCATCGCCTACGTAGAAACCATGTACAAGATCATCAAACCAGGCGGGTGCTGGATTAACCTGGGTAAGGTCAATAGAGTTGTGTCCCCTTATTTCCAGAGCCCCATTCCTGAAAACTGATCTTTGCACTGCGATTGTAGTGAGCCTTTGTTAGAGTTATGATCTAGTTATGACTTTGTTGAATGGAGCCTGACCTGCTGGATTCCTAGGTTTGTTCACACTCCTACCCAGAGTTCCTTGCAGTCAGCCTATTACAGAGTACTTCTGTCGCAGGCTGCGAGTTGTAACGATTCAACACATTGCATATATTTTTCATATGTTTCATCACCTTAGTGCTACGACTGTCGTAGGTCTATGTTAAGGTACGGGAGTTACGATCACCTGAGTGCTACGACTGTCGTAAGTGTATGTGAAGGTATGGGAGTTACGATCATCTTAGTGCTATGACTGTCGTAAGTGTATGTTAAGGTATGGGAGTTACCATCACCTTAGCGCTACGACTGTCGTAAGTCTATGTTAAGGTATGGGAGTTACAATCACCTTAGTGCTACGACTGTCGTAAGTCTATGTTAAGGTATGGGAGTTACAATCACCTTGGTGCTACGACTGTCGTAAGTCTATGTTAAGGTATGGGAGCTACTATCTTCTTAGCGCTTTGTACAACGGTACCATGGTCACTTTGATGTGTAGAGATACGTTGTCATGCTCCTCACTGTTGCAGGTGTCGTAGTATATCTATATAATCATGCAAAACAATATGCAAGCCGCATTAAAAGGCTTCAATTTGGCCAACCTGCTTTCATTTCAGAATAAGCATGTTTGTTTAAAAACAAGAGAAAAGACTGGGTACGTGATATGCAAATTAGCGGTGGTGTAAAGCTGAGTCATCACTGCACCCTGGTTTGATCCCCTCACGGATGTTAGATGCTCTGCGTCACTTTGAACTTTGAGACAAACAAGATTGGATTGAAACTCAATGATGAGCTGTCTATCTGATTTCATTTTGACTTTAAAAAGAGTTTCTAATAAAACAATTGTCATAAGTTTTGGGCTATTATTTTGTGTGTGCAAAATATGCAACTTGGTACATTCTCACCCCATGCTTGTTACATCATTGAACGAAGGTGAGCTTCTCTACCTGTAGCAAGACATTGAGGATATTATATTCATGTTCATGTCATACTATGGTTACGATCCAAATGTCTAAATTCCGGAATTTCCCAAGCTATTGAGCTGCCCTTTTAGAAAAAGACTGACATCAACAATCTTCAGCTATGACGTCCTTTCCAGTGTGACGTCGTTCCAACCTCATGTAACAAAAAGATTCGAATGACATCGACAATACTGTCTATATGATGGAAACAATACACTGTTGTCTCGTGACGTGATGTGACCCCAGGGCACATATGATTTTGATGACCCCCAATATGTTTGCCCTCGTAGGTAATAGACAGAGATTATTATACAAGCATATGTGTCTTACTGGTTATATGTTTGTCGTCGTAGGTAATACATTGTGTGATGTGCTGCTGTTCCAGGTCCCCTGCTGTACCACTATGCGGACCTGGCCAACGAGAGCTCCATAGAACTCAGTTACGAAGAGCTGAAGCATGTCATTACAACGATAGGCTTTGTTATAGAGGTAGGACACAGTTGAGTGTCAGTGGAAGTCCTGGTGTCCTTAGTTACGAAGAGCTGAAGCATGTCATTACAACGATAGGCTTTGTTATAGAGGTAGGACACAGTGGAGTGTCAGAGAAAGTCCTGGGGTGCTTAGTTACGAAGAGCTGAAGCATGTCATTACAAAGATAGGCTTTGTTATAGAGGTAGGACACAGTGGAGTGTCAGTGGAAGTCCTGGGGTCCTTAGTTACGAAGAGCTGAAGCATGTCATTACAAAGATAGGCTTTGTTATAGAGGTAGGACACAGTTGAGTGTCAGTGGAAGTCCTGGGGTCCTTAGTTACGAAGAGCTGAAGCATGTCATTACAAAGATAGGCTTTGTTATAGAGGTAGGACACAGTTGAGTGTCAGTGGAAGTCCTGGGGTCCTTAGTTACGAAGAGCTGAAGCATGTCATTATAACGATAGGCTTTGTTATAGAGGTAGGACACAGTGGAGTGTCAGTGGAAGTCCTGGGGTCCTTAGTTACGAAGAGCTGAAGCATATCATTACAACGATAGGCTTTGTTATAGAGGTAGGACACAGTTGAGCGTCAGTGGAAGTCCTGGGGTCCTTAGTTACGAAGAGCTGAAGCATGTCATTACAATGATAGGCTTTGTTATAGAGGTAGGACACAGTTGAGCGTCCGTGGAAGTCCTGGGGTCCTTAGTTACGAAGAGCTGAAGCATGTCATTAAAACGATAGGCTTTGTTATAGAGGTATGACACAGTGGCGTGTCAGTGGAAGTTCTGGGGTCCGAATCATGAACCTGATGATATAAAGTCAAGGACCGCGGGGCCCCCTTAGTTTTTAAAATAACATTGGTCTTACAGTTGCATAAGTTTGTTTTGTGTTTCAGACATTTTGCTAAATCTACTTGTTATTATCAAAGGAGTCACTGAAAAGGTTTATTTAAAAGATGTTTTATTTTCCTCATTTTGATGTATTTATGCTTTTACGTGAAGTTTTCTCCATACACAGCTTTTCCATTTGACGAGAGAGGAGTCACATGACCCTCAAACTGTCAGTTCATTAGCATAACAACTTCACAAAGATCATACTTTTGTCACGGGACTGTATTCTTGAAGTGTCATCAACTCTGATGGACTACTTCCCCTGGAATGTTTTAAGTATAAATAAATACAGAGGCATTGATAAGTTATACCCTTTGATCTTGAACTCAGCTTTTCAGCATATGGAACCATTGGTTGAATTAGCCAATGAGTTAAAAGCCAGAGGTACAGGGGACACCAGAATTGGGCTTCACACATTGTACCCATGATGGGAATCAAACCCTGGGCTTCAGCATAATGAGCAAATGCTTTAACCGCTAGACTACCCCACAGCCCCTTTTTTGAGGAACTGTTTTAGTATAGACGTGACGTGGGCCACCTAGCATTTTCTCAAAAATGGAACCATTGGTTTTAATTAGCCGCCAATGAGCACAAAGCCAGAGTTACAATGCTGGGGAGGTTTACTGAAACCATACACAGGATAACTCCTTGCCCCTGTACCTAATGCTGGCATGTTACTTTGCAGAAAGAGGAGGTTGATGTGAAGTCGACCTACACACAGAACACCAAGTCCATGTTGCAGTATCAGTATCACAGTGTCTTCTTCGTGGCCAGGAAACCCTCCTGACCGAGGGCTTACAGTCAAGCTTTCAAGAGTTATCTGCCCTTGAGTTGTTCAGATATTGTTTGTGCTAGGTTACCCGTTGAACAGACTACAGAGAAATGTGGAGTCAGGAGAACAGGAGGATATGAAGTTATCTGCCCTTGAGCTGTTCAGCCATTTTGTGGGCGTTTCCTATTGAGCAGACTACAGAGAAATGTGAGTTCAAGGAGACAGGATAGCATGAGGATATGACATGCAGGAGTGTGGATATGGTTCCTGGTTGAAAGAATAACTACACATTACAAGTTACAGCAATGAAATCAAACACCCTTCGGAGTCCACTTTAGAAGAGGAGCCGACCCGTGAAGATCCAGGGGTAGTATAGGTCTTCAGCAACCTATTCTTGCCGTAAAAGGCGACTAACTGGATCGGGTGGTCAGGCTTGCTGACTTGGTTGATTCATGTCTTCCAATTGCGTGGATCGATGATCATGATGTCAATCACTGGATTGTCTGGTCTGAACTCGATTATTTACACCTGCTGTCATATAGCTGAAATATAGCTGCGTGCAGCATTAAACAACAAACAAACAAACAAACAGAAAAGGTGCCTAGCCACCTGTGCTTGTTATGAGAAACAACTTGATGGATGGGCACGGAGGACTGGTTGACTTGGTTGGCTGTGTGTCATCTTGCCCTGACAACGTGGGACATTGCACATTGCCCACAGTAGTGACTAGAGTCCAGTTCTTGATACTGCTTGGAAGTATTTGTCCAAACCAGAAACAGATGCTTCTCAATCAGACAAAGACCACATGTTCTAGAAGTTGAAATTTATGAAGAAGGGAATTGATGTGTTTAATTTAAGTAACATTCTCAGACAAGATCACTTTCCCAAAATGTCCCACAATATTTCTAATTTAAGGAACCACCAACAGTTATTTTTCCTATACGACCACCATTTCATCCAGGTTGTTAATTATAGGAATGTGTTGCAGAAAACTAGCCCAAACTTGGCTTTTAGCATTTTTTTCAGTACATTCTAGTGTGTAGAAACTGAAACAATATGTTAAACCAGATATCTGTGCGTAAAAGAACCAACAAATAACCAACAAGAGCTATACAATCAACAAATGTATCACAAAATTAACTAGGTTTACAAATCGAAACAAATTACTGCACGACACTTACAATGGCAGTACACAATAGAGTGGTAGTACAATATTCAGTGATAGTATAAGACATGATGACATTGGTCAGCGTCAAATACAAATAGAGTACACAATAGAGTGGTAGTACAATATTCAGTGATAGTATAAGACATGATGACATTGGTCAGCGTCAAATACAAAAATACAGTGGTGATAATCAGTGATAATACTACATTCACCCATCGGCGACAGTGGTCATGCTTCCAAGATGAGCCTGGGCAGGGAATCGGGGGTGATGAGTGATCTTCACAAGAAAGCTGGTCTTGATGTAATGAAATGTGTGAGAGAGGAAGCATGCTCTTATCCCCTTACATACTGGCTGCTGGAAATTTCCCCACGGTGGCCTCACAACATAGAATATTCCACATGTTTCTATTACCCTCTGTCTCAATCCATGGTATTCCGGAAGTTTACACATGACACTAGCATCTAAACATAGTAACTTCCTCAAAACTGCTTTCATTAAACAGTACTTCATTCCTGACAACTTATCATTCTCCAAATACAATACAATGAATGTCAAAAGAAACATTGTAATACAGTTACAATCATTGTTTTACAAATAGAATACATGTCAGAGTAACGTCAATCACTGGTTTGTCTGGTCCAGTGTCAAATATTTACAGGGCGTCATCGTACAGCAGAAATATTGCCGAGTGAGGCTTCAAACACACAATGCATCATTGTTACCTGTCTTGTTGCTGTTGGCCTTGTGGAAACCCCATTCAAATAGGCTCTCACTTAAGAAAGGGTGTTAATATGGCAGGTATACGTTTGAGATATTCAGGTTATATACATCTCAAAAGCATGAGATTCATGCACATTGTACATTGTTCTTTTGAAGAGTTAAGAAATTATTAACCGTTTGTATGGTGTGGTTGAATGGTTATTACCTGCATAAACTGTGATAAATGTATATGACTGATAATGAAATAATTTATCAGAATGAATTATAATTTTAATGAGGATTAAATTTTATGTGAATTGTTTTGTCTCAGATTAATTGATGTTATCTGCTTTGCACAGATATAAAACACTGAACAAAATTGAATTTGTATGCAATAAGACAGTTTGTGTGACTTCAAATGTGTTATCAGGACAGATTTTCAGTTGCTGTAGCAAATGAAAATTGAATGGGGATCAGGTGGGCAGGAAGTTGAAAATACATCTCTTATTGTTTTGCATTGACTGGGATGTGGTGCTCTCTTCAGATGAGGGGGTAGAATAGGTCTTAAGCAACCCATGCTTGCCGTTAACACCGACTATGCTTGTTGTAACAGGCGACTGACGGGATCGGGTGGTCAGGCTCGCTGATGCATGTCATTACTCTCAATTGCGTGGATGCTATGATATTAATCACTGTATTTTCTGGTCCACACTCGATATTTACAGACCGCTGTCATATAGCTGGAATATTGCTGAGTGTGGTGTTAAACAACAAACCAACCAACTTTAGATGAGCATTTCATGTTATCTCGATTAGCAGTGTTACTACCTAATACGATGTCTCTGTAATTATAAGTAGTAAGTATCTTGTAATAAATGTTTTATTTGGGATAACACTTTCTTAGTAAAGTACAGATTCTCGGATCGTACTTTTTGGGTTTGAGTCCTATTCGGGATTCGAACCCACACTGGCAGAGGGAGAAACCTAATCGCCAGCACTCTGCCAGAGTGACGTGTGAGGTATTCGACCTTTGCTCACAATGACTGTCCTGATTATTTTTAGTATGACAAATATGTTGACATGTATATTTTATGTATAAATCATCCACTTGTCTTGCATGGTGTTGTTAATGTTTTTAATGTTTCTTTCTGTCAGTTATAGTTCTTTTATATGTAGATACAATACCCATCTGGAACCACTGAAAATGTGAAACGTTCATGACATTGAATGTCTTACACAAACACAATTTCTAAGCTGTTACGCTCTATCTTTCTACCCTTATGAGAAATGTGGACTTTTCCTGACAACTGGCGTGTGTCCCACCGGACAAAGCCATGGGATTTGTCTGTCCCATCACCATGGGGGATTTTTCCAAGATGGCGGTACTCCCAGTTGCATCCAAATGTATTATAAAGAGTTGTAGTGACTTCAAGTATTATTAATAACTTTAGTTTATATTTTTAAGATTGTGCAAACTCGGAACTACTTTTTAAATCTTTTTAATTACAAGGGCTGGTGAGACGTCTGTGAGTGTTGGTAGGAGACTTTATGTTTCAAGGTTTTACATTTGTGATGAACAATAAAGGATTTCCGGTAGATAACTACACAAAAAGTATATGATAAATGTTATATATTAAGTGTTGAGTGAAATTTAATCGAGTGCTGACTGACATGAAGGTAACGTCTGACTCATATTAATGTAGGTACTGACATGGTTAGCTGTCTTAACTTGAAGGGCGGTCGGGTAGCCTAGTTGGTTAAGGCGTTCGCTCGTCATGCGGAAGACCCGGGTTTGATTCCCGACATGGGTACAATGTGTTTAGCCCATTTCTGGTGTCCCCCGCAGTGATATTGCTGGAATATTGCTAAAAGCGTGTTAAAGCATACTCACTCACTCACTCACTCATTCACTTAAATTAACCAGTCGCCTATACGCCTCAATCAGAACAAAACGGGCATAAGTATAAACATGGACTTTCTTCAGGCGTCTTTTCAGGTTTTGCCTGTGGTTTCCCATTAGTGGCATTTAACAACAGTAACAAACGACACAATCACCTCGACCATGATAGAAATAGCCAGACATGGCCATGTCATAAGGGGTCTATGTCATCTGTTTATAGTTACGTCGGACGTTGTTGATAGTCATCATACTAAGGGTGAGGAATATCCTCTCAACTTTTCCAGACATCCTGTCAGTATCAGGCGCATCTCTGTGGTGTTGCCTCCATACACAGGTTGACGACACACGTCTGTAAACTGAAGTATATTTGCTGATAGATTACCTTTTTCAAAACAAAGCAGTTTGATGCCGCTTTTGCGAACTTACTCCTGTGCATTTCGCAAGGAATGCTGCTATCCTAAAGGTTTTTGGTTAGTAATAAAACTGTCATCAGTTCATCAGCAGTCACTAGGCCATGGTCAACAGACATGCCAATGTCCACCCCCTAATTCACAGGTCTCATCTCACTATAAACAAACAGCTAAACTCTAGCTTCATGGTGCTGATTAGCCTTGCTCCAAGTTTGAAGGATACATCTGTGGATGTATATTCATTCTATCCTTATATCGGGCAAGTCTAGATCAGCTGACAGTGCTCTGGTCTTTTACAGGGACAACTTCTTCATATTATTTCTATAATCTTGGAATTATTATTTAAACTAATAATCATTGCCTTAGAGACTTGTGTGAGTCGAGATGCTGATCTGCCCCATAAAACTCAACAAGTACAAAACTGGTTGATGCATGTCACTGTATACCAATTGCGTAGATCGATGCTTATGATATCAATCGCTGGCTTGTCTGCTCCAGACTCGATTATTTACAGACCGCCGTCATCAGAGAGTTTATTTTCCTCCAAGTTTCAGGCCATAGGCCATAGAACATACATGATATCAATAAAGTGTATGCATAAATACATGAAAGGAATAAAACACATAAGTAATATATCAATGAATTGTGAGTGACTCGCGAAATCTAAAAGCGTGGTAGATATATTTAGCAAGTTGTGTAATAGTGTATTTACCTTTTGAAGACATAAGATTTACAAATTTTTCAAGACCGCCATCATATATCTGGAATATTGCTGAGTGCGGCGTTAAACAACAAAAAAACTTCACAATCTATATGATTTAATTTAGAATTTTTTAAATTTAGTAAAATGCAAGAAAATGGTTGGTTCACATCTGACTGTCAGTTGCCATGCGTGCAACACCGTCAACATCTTGATTCATGATGGCTTTGCTCCATACCACGTCAGATAAGGAATATACACTTGTAAAGTGAAACTTGACTTTCAGTTGAAATAACATGCTAAAATGATTTGTGGTAGCGATAATGTTTTACAAATGTTTCCACAAAATTATCAAGTTATCGTTTACCTGTGCATAATGTTATATATTTCCTTCAACTGTAAATGCGAACCTTAGAGAACTACTCACTCTGGGCACATGCAGTGTACCTGATGTAGCTAGCTGATGTGGTCATCTGGTCAGAATACCCAGCGTACTCTACTGGGCCGTGACAGGCACTGGCTGTAAACAGGGCGGAGTTATGTTGTTGGAGAGATAAGGGTGGGGTATTATGTTACATGATTTGGCCCCTTTC